CTGAGGCAGGCAGATCACATGAGGTAAGGAGTTCAAGACCAGCCTGGCCAACATTGTGAAACCTAGTCTCTACTAAAAATAGAAAAATTAGCTGGGTGTGGTGGTGCACACCTGTAATCTCAGCTACTTGGGAGGCTGAGACAGGAGAATCGCTTGAACTAGGAAGGCAGAGGTTGCAGTGAGCCAAGATTTTGCCATTGCACTCCAGCCTGGGTGACAGAGTAAGACTTCGTCTCAAAAAGAAAGGAAGGAAGGAAGGAAGGAAGGAAGGAAGGAAGGAAGGAAGGAAGGAAGGAAGGAAGGAAAGAAAGAAAGAAACTATCCAGATAAAATAACAAAATCACAGTGATTATTATATATCGTTTTCCCTGATTACTGTAAATCAACTTTTGGGATTCTTTCTAGGTCTCCAGGTTTCAAAATTAAGATAAACAAATTTGTTATTTTTTTGCCTTACATTTTTATGAAGGATGCTAGGATTGTCTGCCTTTTGAGAAATTTTTCAAATAATAATTCAAAACTAATCAATAACACCTAATAATTTTTTAGCCATCCTAGAGTGAATGACAATATATAGGACCAGTTTGAGTAGAACATAGCTTGAAGAGCTCTTTCGCTAGTCTTTTCCTTTCTCCTCTTTAGTTTGGTTTTTATCCCACCCATCATAAGTGCGTTCTTCTGGTTATCTTACTGTGGGATGACTTTTTCAGAAAAGAAGAAAAATCATCATAATCATCTGCCTCTACACAGTCATCAGTTATCAGCTTTCCCTAACCCTGCAGGAGGAGCAGGTGGGCAGCTGGGAGGTTAGTGAGACAGTAGGATATTTGTTTCTATACTTTTGCCTTTTATTAAAATCAAAGAATGCTTTCTTGCAGTCTTTTATCATCTTATAATTTATGGCTCCCATATCACTCAAGAGTTCTCAATTGCTTCCCTATGCAATACTGCTAATTGTTTTTGGTAACCTGGCCCAATTTCCAGTTAGAGCCCTTTAATTTACACTTTCTGAATGTAGCCACCTTTTTTTTTTTTTCCCGGAGACTGAGTTTCGTTCTTGTCATCCAGGCTGGAGTGCAATGGCGCGATCTTGGCTCACTGCAACATCCGCCTCCCAGGTTCAGGCAATTCTCCTGCTTCAGCCTCCCGAATAGCTGGGATTACAGGCACTCACCACCACGTCTGGCAATGTGTGTGTGTGTGTGTGTGTGTGTGTGTGTGTGTGTGTGTGCGCGCGCGCGCGCGCACCTCCCAGTTTCAAGCGATTCTCCTGCCTCAGCCTCCCGAGTTTGGGAGGCTGACGTGGGTGGATCAGCTGAAGTCAGGAGTTTGAGACCAGCCTGGCCAACATAGCGAAACCCTGTCTCTACTAAAAAATATAAAAAATTAGCCAGTGTGGTGGTGTATGTCTGTAATCCCAGCTACTCAGAAGACTGAGGCAGAAGAATTGCCCAAACTTGGGAGGCAGAGGTTGCAGTGAGTTGAGATCGCACCACTACACTCTAGCCTAGGTAACACAGCAAGACTCTGTCTCAAAAAATTAAAAGCTATCACTTTCATAACCTTGAATTTGAGGAAAATGTTGACTGTGCAACAGTTTACCAAACATGTGGTCTTGGTAGGCACTGAAACTACACTGTAAACTATTTTTACCCTGGAGATCAGTCTCCTCAGGGAGAATGGATGAAATGTCTACAAGCTTGGAATACAAATAATAAACACAGAAATCAAGACTATATCTTTTTTCAAAAAGAAAGATATCCTAATGTCATCATGTTCTAGCCTAATGGGTAATTTCCTTTTTTTTTTCCTTCTTTCTTTTGTTTTCGTCTTCTTCTCCTTCTTTTTTTTAAGATACAGGGTCTCACTATGTTGCCTTGTGGGACCTCGAACTCCTGGGCTCAAACAGGCCTCTTATCTCACATTTTTCATTTGTTGTTGCTGTTCTTCTTCCCTCTCTCTCTCCCTCCCTTCCTTCATTCTCCTCCTTCCCCTCCTTTTTTAAGAGTTAGGGTCTTGCTACATTGCCCAGGCCAGCCTCAAACTCCTGGGCACCAGTGTTCCTTGCACCTCAGCCTCCCAAGTAGCTCAGGGACTACAGGTGCACACCACCACACCTGACCTTTTTATTTTGATGTAAGCAACTCATTACTTCAACCATCTGCTTTAAAAAAGTGCTTTGTAAAAAAGGTTTACAAGATAGAATCATATGTGGAAAATAAAACAGACCAGAAATAAAACTCAATCACACTTGCCAGACCAATACCTTTTGACAAATATTATTAGCCAATAAAATATCCATTGTACCAATGCTTTCATTGCTGAAGTTTCATTATATTATTGGCAAAAAAGTTCACATGTCACTAGCAATTATGTAATAATTGATCATTACAATAATTAAAATAAGTAGCAAAATAGTATGTGCAGGCTCCTATTTATAGAATAAGGGGACAACTTTCTGTCCCCATATCCACACCCTTAGGTATGGTCTTCAACTAAAATATCAGACAATACAATCAAGGGCAAGTCACATAAAAAGAGCTATAACCTTTGGGGAAATTACTTTAAAAGTACTTCAAAATTTTTAAGATAAATGTCAGTATGTTAGTCAATAGATCTCCATTATTTATAACGGTGACTAAATCTCCTTTAAGAACTCTTTTTTTGTTGTTTGTTTTTTGAGATGGAGTTTTCTCTTGTGGCACAGGCTGGAGTGCAGTGGTGTGATCCCGGCTCACTGCAACCTCTGCCTCTCAGGTTCAAGCAATTCTCCTGTCTCAGCCTTCTGAGTAGCTGGGATTACAGCTGCCCGCCATAACACCTGGCAAATTTTTTTATTTTTAGTAGAGACAGGGTTTCACCACGTTGGCAAGGCTGGTCTTGAACTCCTGACCTCAGGTGATCCGCCCACCTCGGCCTCCCAAAGTGCTGGGATTACAGGAGTGAGCCATTGTGCCTAGCCTAATGGTTTTCTTGTTCTACAACATTTCTTTTCTGCAAAGTGGACTGTGGAGTTCTTAACAAGCTCTAGGCCGTGACTAAAGAGATAGCCCTAAATGTCACAGTGAGAATACATCTAATTGGGTCTAATAACCCTCTTATCCAATATTACAAGTAGCCTTGTTAAAATGCCTTCTTACATAGTTTCAGATTGTTTTTTCTATGTTTAATTTCTTCAAATTTTCTTAATAAGTATGTACTATATAATCCCAGCACTTTGGGAGGCAAAGGCGGGTGACTCATGAGGTCAAGAGATCTAGACCATCCTAGTCAACATGGTGAAACCCCTTCTCTACTAAAAATACAAAAAAATTAGCTGGGCATGGTGGCGCATGCCTGTAGTCCCAGCTACTCAGGAGGCGGAGGCAGGAGAATTGCTTGAACCCAGGAGGCAGAGGCTGCAGTAAGCAGAGATCACACCATTGCACTCCAGCCTGGGTAACAAAAGTGAAACTCTGTCTCAGA